TTTGTCTCCCGTCGCCTTTCCCCGCTGTGGAGATCATCGTCGGTGCGTGGGCTTTGGAGGCTCTCGTCCCCTTTCTTTTTCCCCTGAGTCTATCCCGACTAATCCTCCGATCGACGAACCTCTCTCCCACCCCCCAAAGTCCGCCCTGGCTCATGATCCCCGACAATGACTGACAGTTCGACAGTATCAGTTGCCTGAGTCAGGTCGCCTCGGTTTTCTACTGGGATTAATTGATCGAGTATGCTGCTATTATCGTTATCCTCGTGCTCATTGTTCGCCGGTCCTCTGGAGCTATCACTTGCCACCCCCGATCCGCTCTCGATCTGAATGACCCCCGTGCCCACCTCGACCCCCTGTTCCCCGGCCAGAAAATGAGCATCTCACTTCCCTACCGACCTACTGACGATTCCACCCTCTCGCTTGCGGCCACCACCAATCCTTCCAAGGCCAATGGCCATCCCCGCCTCTCCCCTTCCCCTTCCATCATCCACCGGCGCACCCCCAGTAGTTCGGGGAACTCGGCGCGCCGTCGCTCGTTGGGCAATGGTCCCTCTGCTCTCTATCCCAAACCGCGACGATGCAAATCGCAATACCCCCGAGATTCGCCCGAGCGACATGTCGAGTACATCCTCGTGGCCTCGTTCCACATTGATCGCGGTCCGATCATGGAGCATCAGTATCCCGCCGCAATCAGTGGCGACGAGAGCATGCTAGCGGAGCTGATGCTTCCCGATCAGACGCACGTTCGGAGTCAAGACTGGACGATCTTCTTCCTACATAAGGACACGAGCGCGGATGCCGACGAGGATGACGATGCCAGTACCGGCAAGAAAAAGAAGAAGAAAAAGAAGTCCCGGATAGGGGATGCGGAGAGCGGCGACGGGGATAGCGAGGATGTCGACGGGTCAACCGAAGAGGAGAGCAGCGACGAAGAAGAGGGTGGCGAGGGGCCACCCTTGATGTACGTGCTCAACCTTGTAAATACGAAGCAAGATAACTCCGTCAAGCGGTATGTCCTTCCATGGTTTTCCGGCTGCCTAGTCGATACTGAACAATCACAGTGGTGCAGTTGTCAAAGCCATGGCGATTTGTACGCGACATTCTTTCCTACATATATATAAAGTAGGCTCACCCAGTACAGCGCATGTGATGGAGCTGACCGGCCACGATAGCCTCTACTTCTCCTAGCCTTGGAGGATTACTTCAAGAACCCCTACCCCGAGACGCTCGCGTCGTTATACAATGCTGTGAACGCCATGGACCTGTCGTTGATGCCCAGGCTATCTCATTTAGAGCGACTGATCTTGCAGGCGAGCAACTGCAAGGATATGTTCATCGAGAAATTCGAGCAGATGATCCACCAGCGACAACTTGAAGACGGCACGCCTTTTGACGACGAGCCCCCGTCCCCGAAGAGGCCGGCCGCCCCTCGATACACGCTACCCCGAGATACCCACGAGTTTGAATCTAAGATCGTCTACAACGATATTCCTATTCCCGTCAAGGTGCCAACGGTGATTTGGCCGGAGGTTGTGGGCGACTTTTCCCTCATCAAGCTCATCCAAATCTTTTCTTCTCCGCATGCGACCTCGCCACAGCCCTTTCCCATCCACCCCCACCTCACCACGAGCGGGCCCTTTACCCATCCGATCATTGTCCTCGTCAACGCCATGCTGACTCAGAAGCGTGTGATATTCCTGGGGCACAATCGCCCTTCAGGCGAGGTGGCAGAGGCAGTGTTGGCGGCGTGCGCCCTTGCGTCGGGCGGTATATTGCGCGGCTTCACCAGACATGCGTTCCCGTACACCGATTTGACGAAGATCGATGACCTACTGAGGGTCCCTGGTTTCATTGCCGGCGTGACAAATCCTACCTTTGCCAACCACCCCGAGTGGTGGGATGTGCTTTGCGACCTGCCTACGGGCCGGATAAAGATCAGTAGCCACATCGAACCGGCCCCTGTTACCGAAGGACTCTTGTACTTCCAGCAGCAAGCCGCCATGAACCACCATCCACCGCCGAGCAACAATTCAGATCCCAGTGGAGACAATGTCTTTATGGAGGAGGTCCAGCGCAGCATCACCAACCGATACGGCGAGAATGCCATCCGAGCGAAGTGGCGCGCCTATATCACCAAGTTCACCCGGGTTGCTGCTGCCTTCGAGGAGACGGTCTACGGGGCGTCCAATCTATATGTTATCGGTCCCAACGAAGAGCTTTCGCCCGAAAGCCCAAGCGGCTTTCAGGCGGATCCGCTTGATCCGACAACGCTTCGCGGACACGGTTACGTGTGGCCAGATGAGGGCTCTAAGCAACGCGAGCTGATGGCTTCGGTGGCAAGGATCGAAGGCTGGCGGACGACGCGATCATATTACTCCTTTATTCAAGACATTGCAGCCATGTATTATCCCTCACGGCCGATTCAGAAGCCGGACCTGCATCATCATCATGACCGGCTACGGGCGCTGAGGCTGCCGCCCGCCGATGCGGGGGCGATCTACATCTCATTTGCGCATGCAGTCAAGGACTACGCAGGCATCTGCCAGCTTTTGACCGTGACTCCGGAGAACCAAGCGGGGCTCTTTTACCTCGGCATGGGACTGTTTCACCCACACCAGCCGGTTCGCGAGGCAGCGGTCGATCTCCTGGAGCGCATTGCGGCGCATCCGGCAGGACGACACTTCTGGGCGCAGCTCAACCGGTTCACCAAGCTGGCCTTCTTCCGGATCAAGCGGGAGAGAGATGCATCAACGCAGAGCCCAGCGTCAGGCTTGGGGAGTGAGAGCTTCGGGCCTCAAAGCCTGGTAGGGGTAGCGCTGGGCGACAGTTTCCGACGAAGTTAGCAAACCGACAGTACCCCGATTATTCGTATCATGAAATATGTGACGACATGATATAGTGGCCCCCACATTTTTGATATTCTTCTGCATTGTTTGATATTTATTTGCCTACGGGCTGGATATACCTGGTTTTGAATAAGATCTTTATTTCGTATTCTTTCAAACTAAAGCGAGGGGAGTGAATGAGTGAGTATAGATAAGAGAAATTAAAGTATAGACATTAGAATATCCCTCCATATGTAAAAAAACACCATAGCCCATATCACATCATATATTATCATACCCCCATGATCACCCATCCAACACTCCACCCTACCACCACCAACCCCAACCCCAACCCACCCCTCCAATCCTTCACACCACCACTACTAACCCTATCCCCCACGACCCCAACCGTAACATTAACATCCGCAAACCCCTCCCCACAAACCCCATTCACGCCCCTCGCCGTAGGCAAATAACTTCCCGCCAGCGGCTGCCCATCCACACTCGCATACTCCTTATACACATTCAAAGTGGCCTGGAGACACTCATTACAAGTGGGCCAGGGCTTCGTGGAAATCGCACTCCCATACGGCACGAAATACACATCATAGTCGACGGCATTCGTGGTATTCGTCACCGCATCCACGAAACAATAGTTATTCGTGGTGGGGGACTGCAGGCACGTGGCGCGGTAGATGGGCGCGTAGACGATCAGGTCTGTGTAGAGGGACACCACGGCTTGGTTGCCTGCGTTGTAGTCGTGCAGGCAGGTCGAGGATTGGAGGAGGGAGGTGGCGAGGGTGGTGAGGGCGGTGCTGCAGGTGGAGAGGTCTGCGGCGCAGGCGGTGTCGAGGATGGAGGAGGTGGTTGGGGCGGAGGTGAGGGCGTGGAAGAAGGAGGTTGAGTCGCGGAGTAAGAGGGAGATGGCGTGGCAGGTTGTTAGGGTCGTGTTGGTTAGGAGGGTGTGGAAGAAGGTGGAGCAGGTGGTTGTGGTGAAGTTGTTGGTTAGGGAGGTGTCGAAGGCGGTTGGGAAGGATGAGGTTGTGGTGGAGGTGGTGTCGGTGGATATGGATGTGTTGTTGTTGTTGGTAGTGGTGGTGCGGGGGTGGAGGGTGAGGGTGAGGGTGTCGTCGTTGGTGAAGATATCTGGTGATAGTTGTTGGTCTGTGGTGGTGGTGGTGGTGGTGGTATGTGCTGCGGAGTGATCCGCATTGACGATCTCTCCGCTGCTTATTTCTGCGTTGGATGGAAGCACGGATCCTAGCACGGATGGGAGGGCGAGTAGGGTTAAGAGAAGGAGTGATCGTTGTTGGTGGTGGTGTTGGTGTGGTCGTGCTGGGCGTGCACGCGGCGTGTAGATGGATACCATGGTGGTGATGGTCAATTGGATCTCCTTAATGAGGGACTAGAATGATGAAGAGAGAGAGTGTGTGTATATAGACGGCAAAGAAATCAAAAGGAGTGTGGTTGCCCAATTACATGGTCTTGGGATGGGCTGCTCGGTGGCAGGGCAAGGGGGATGGATGGATGGATAGATGGATGGACGGATTAGGGCACTTCAGGATGGGGGAGGGCAGCTTTAATCTAAACCATGAGGCTACTGTACTACAACGGGATCAATCACACAACGGGATTAAAGCCATGGCACATTGTGGACAAGACACAACACACACACACACGAGCAGGGTCAGGGGCGTGCCTGACGGAGTGAGCCGTGCGCCAAAGGGAAAAACGGGCATAATTGGTATAGGCTGGATGGAACAGTCGAGACTAGACCGACGGGCAAAGAGTCTGGACCCTCAGGGTTTATTCTTAGCAGGGCAACTGATTGGACTCCTTGCTCCTAGTACAAAGCAAAAGAGGACTTTTTTCACAAGTCAATGAGCATAGCGGACAGTTCGGTTATTCTGCCTGTTGTGCTCTCGTCTGAAACTGGCGCCACCAGAATTAGCGTCACGACTGACTCGAGAAGTGTAACAGCTATTCTTGTCACTACTACTATTCAGATAGAAGACAGGAAAATAAACTGCCGGATGGGAAATCCCTTAATAAGATAAATCAAAAAAACTCCCGAGGGAGCACGGGCTGCACGCCGGCCCCGTGGGCCAATCAACAACGCGGCAAAACCAGGAGGGTCCACCTCGCCTATCGCCGACCCAAAGGAAGGAATGACATCGAAGTTCCCTTCCTTGCCCGCCTGCTCCTCTTCTTCTCCTCCACCAGCTCCCCTTCATTTCATCATGTCCGCCGATCTTCTCGTCCCTGAGACCAGGGTCTTGGCTGTCGCCAGCCATGTATGTTTTCCCCCAACCACCATGGATGTAGCCCCCCATGGTACCTAACCCCCAATGCATTGCTGACAAGGGTCTAGGTTGTCTACGGGTATGTGTCATATTTGATAACACCTCACTATCTATCATGATGTCTCGTCGCATCCAATCGCTCCCCATACTGACGGATCAGATATGTGGGCAATAAGATGGCCACTGCGGTCATGCAGCTCATGGGCTGTGATGTCGCCGCCTTGAACACGGTGCACTTCAGTAAGCAGCCATATATCATATATGTAATCATCTACTAACAAAGTTTCAGGTAACCACACCGGTTATAGACAGTTCAAGGGCACTAGGGCCACGGCAGAGGAGATCACCGCGCTCTATGAGGGTCTCACGCAGAGTAACCTGCTTGATTTTGATGTCATGCTCTCTGGCTATGCGCCCAGTGCAGCTGCCGTTGAAGCCGTCGGGGCCATTGGCATGGACCTCCAGCGCAAAGCGGAAAAGAATCCCGGTTCTTTCTTCTGGGGTGAGCTGCCCTCTCTCTCTCTCTCTGTTCTATGTGGTGGCAGTAATAACCATGCGCAGTCCTGGACCCCGTAATGGGGGACCAAGGCCGTCTCTACGTCAACGACGACGTCGTTCCCGCCTACAAGAAGGTCATCCGCCACGCAGACCTTATTCTCCCCAACCAATTCGAAGCCGAGTAAGCCATCCCTTTATCCTTACTTCTGCTGCTCCCTCTAACCAAAGCAGAGTCCTCTCCGGCATCAAAATTACCTCCCTCGCCACCCTCGCTGAAGCCATCACCGCCCTCCACGCCATCTACAACATCCCCCACGTGATCATCACCTCCGTGCAAATCGCCAGCCTTTCCGACTCTCCTCTCCCCAACACCCTCACCGTCATCGGCTCGACCACCCGCTCCGACGGCGCCCCGCGTCTCTTCCGCATCGATGTCCCCGCCCTGGACTGCTACTTCAGCGGTACCGGCGATATGTTCGCCGCTCTCACGGTAGCCCGCTTCCGCGAAGCGGTGTTCAACGCTGATGCAACTCTCCGCAACACCAAGTCGTGGGTCTCGCCTGACGATGTTCCCGCTACGGAGTTACCCCTTGCCCAGTCTACCCGGAAGGTGCTGGCGAGTATGCACTGCGTACTAGAGAAGACTCTGGAGGCGCGAGATGCCGAGTTGCGCGCCATTGTTCCGGATGAGGGCGAGAAGCTGCTCAGCCAGGAGGACCAGCAGAAGAGGGCGCATCTGCGGGAGAGCAAGGCGGCAGAAGTACGGGTGGTCCGTCATGCGCAGTATCTGCGGGAACCGGAGGTGGAGTTCCAGGCGAGTGAGTGGCGACGGGAAGATCTGCCGGCGCAGTTTCGTTGATCCTGTTGCTAAATGGGCGGCGAACTGTTTGAGCATTATAGATTAGTTATAGACGGGTGTTGATTTATATACCACCAGTCATGATGAAATGCAGTGACGGACCAAACATAGATGACATCAATCTTCACATTTCATGTAATTGTAATGTAATTGTATTCCAATTGTACGGATATCATTCAGCCATACACATCATATCTCTAACATAACCCTATCCAAAGACTCCCAATTCAAACACCAGTACTTCCAAACCCACCAGCCCCACGAACACTCTCCGCCAATTCCTCCACAACCACAACCTCAGGGGTATAGATCTATATATACATCAGTTAGCTAATTGACACCATTGGCCATTCATCAAGAAAGAGGGGGCAGGGGAAAAATACCCTCTCCAAAACCAACTGCGCCACACGATCTCCCTCCTTCACCTCGAAATCCACATCCGAGTGGTTAAACAAAAGAACCTTGACCTCTCCCCGGTAGTCTGCATCGATGACGCCCGCGCCAGTATCAATGAAGTGCTTCGAGGCGAGGCCGGAGCGGGGGGCGATTCTGCCGTCTATACCACACAACATTATCAGTTTTTCATCTTCTGTATATATATATATATAGTTTATGGGTAGGTTGGTACGTACACGTCCCCTCCGGCACAGCAATAGCAATGCCCGTATCAACCAATGCCTTCCCCTTAGCAGGGATGACGGTCTCCTTGGCGCTGTACATGTCGTATCCGGCCGCGAAGGCAGAGCCGCGGGTCGGGGCGCGGCCCGTGGGAGTGAGCTTCTTCACTTGGAGGGGGGGGAGGGGGGTGCTGGTTGAGCCCATTGTTGTTGTTGATGATGTGGTGGTTGTGTCTGTGGTATCGGTGTTGGGTTTGGTGCGTTTGGCGAGGGGAGAGGCGGGGAGGGAGGGGGGTTCGTGAGTCGTTGTTGTAGGTTCGTTGGTAGTGGTAGTGGTGGGAGGAGGGGTGGTCTCCTTGGTCATTATCTGGGTGGTGTGTAGTGGGGAGGAAGAAAAATGGGGTATCCTTCTTCTTCTGCTTCTTCGGCTGAAAAGGTGCTGAAGAGGTGTTGGAAATGCGGTGTGTTGTGTAAATCGACGAGATGCGAGGGCGAGGGCGAGGCCCTTCATGGTGGGTTCTTCTATTTTTTTTTTAATTTGGGGTTGCTGGAATCGATTTGGGGGAACGCGTCTGGCGGTGAAGGGGAGACGCGAGGCGCGTTTTAATGGGCTTGGCGGGTTTGAGTTGTTTGATTTATCCAGTGGTTCTGATAGACTGATACAGTGAGTGAGTTGGGAATTGGACTAAGCCTAGATGGGTAAGAAATCCAGGATAGCCGAGGCTCCCCGCAGCGCCGCCCCCTTCAGGTGAGCCGCGGGCCGTGGCTGGCTGGCTTGAGATCGGGGCTATCCCCGGGTTTTTGTTCCCATCCCCAGCGTGACTTATTCTCCGCTTTTGCTACGTTTTATAGAAATTGGTGGTGCTGCATATAGTCTCACAGCATATGTTGTTGAAGTTCGCATTGTCTTGGATATGGCTGGAGCGGTGCGCCAACCTATTGATGTTCCTTCCCTGGAACGCTATCTCAATCTCAATGTACCCGATATCAAGACCCCCTTGGATGTGAAGCAGGTATATAGGATGGCCCTATTTGCTTTGATTCGTCTGGTCACACACAACTTACACGCTACAGTTTGGCTTTGGTCAATCCAACCCTACCTATCAACTCACTACCGCCGACGGTAGCAAATATGTCCTGCGCAAGAAGCCCCCGGGCAAGCTACTCTCCAAGACTGCGCACAAAGTCGAGCGCGAGTACAAGATCATCCATGCCCTAGGAAACACCGACGTGCCCGTCCCCAAAGCCTACTGTCTCTGTGAGGACAGCAGCGTAATCGGCACCCCCTTCTACATCATGGAATTCCTAGACGGACGACACTTTACTGATCCTGCCATGCCCGGGGTCGACCCGGCGGAGAGAACCGCATTGTACGTCATCCCCTCCTCCCTCCCCCCCTGGCTTTTCGGGATGATACAACCCGCCTGGCGCGGCTACTGTTACATGGAAGCGGGAAGAAGAAGCTAACGACTGCAACCCCCCCCCTTACCAACAGATGGCAGGATGCGGTCCGGACATTAGCCAAATTCCACCGGGTAGTACCCCAAAAGGTCGGGTTGGAGAGGTTCGGAAAACCGACGGGGTACTATGATCGACAGATCGCCACCTTCACAGCAGTTGCACAGGCGCAGGCACAAGCCGTGGATGTGGAGACCAAGGAACCTGTCGGAGAGTTGCCTCATTTCATGGACATGGTGCGTTTCTTCGAAGACAAGACAACGCAGCCGCAAGACCGCGGCACGCTCGTGCACGGGGACTATAAGATCGATAATATGATATTTCACAAATCCGAGCCGCGAGTCATTGGCCTGTTGGATTGGGAAATGGCCACGGTGGGGCACCCTCTGTCCGACTTCTGCAACCTCACTAGTCCCTTTTTCCTCGATGGGGTGGACCACAAGAAGGCAATGTTCGTCCCGAAGGTGGTGCCTGGCTTGCCCGCTCGAGAGGACTGTATCCGCTGGTATCGTGAAGTGTCCGGGTATGACCCCAGTGGGGATATCCCCTGGGGCGATGCTTTCTTCTCTTGGAGAAGCTCGGTTATTATGCATGGTATCAAGGCGAGATATGCCCTGAGACAGGCCAGTAGTGCTCGCGCTGCGGAATATGCTAGAAATACGGAGCCTTTTGCGCTGGAGGCCTGGGAACGGGTTAAGAGAGTTCAGGCCCAATTGAGTCAAAAGGCCAGGCTGTAAACAATTGACTACTACTTGGTTTTCCTTGCCAGGGCGGACAGACATAAATTAAATTCATCCCTAGAGCTTTTTACATTGCCTCACAAGGTCTAGCACCCTGAGTGGAGTAGATATCACGGCTTAGTTGTTTTCTGCCTTTCCCGTGGCATGACCACCCATGTATATACTAGTATGGACGGCAAGCCGGCACACAGACACACACACACACACAACACAATCATGGATGAGAAGCAGCCTTGCCAGTCGGAGATTACGAAAGGAAGTAAGCATTGTCCAAAACCAAATCTCAACCCTCAAATCCCGAATTATATTAAGGTTGATATGGGCTCAACTCATACCTCTCTTCCTTCACCTACTCTTCTACTTGCCCACTTCAGCCCCCAACATCGTACTACCCAAAACCGCCGCAAGGCGACCCTATGCATGCAAGAAGAAAAGAACGAAACCACACTAGCCTCATTCACGGGAGGCGTACAAAAGCCGAACGAGTCCAAGCGCCAGTAAGCCCGGGTCAGTAGTCATCGCACTAAACTAGCAGGGGGGGTGTGGTGGATGAGGGGCGGTGGTTGGGGGTTCAAGTCAGGTTATGAGAAAAGTGGTGTGCTAACTAAGTAACTAGCCCTCTAAGCTAGTTCAGCTAAACTAGTAAGCAAAGGAAGCTAAATACGCAGCACGGCTTACCTAGAGCCGTGGTGCTGCAGCAGCAGCAACAACAGCAGCAGCAACCCCCATAGACTACAAAATCGATGATGATGATGACGCTGGATGGAGCCTCGTATCTGCGCTACTACTAGATAGATCCATTCCCTCCCTCCCTTCCCCCAGTAACTAACGGGCGAAGAGTCAGCACGAGCGCCAACCGCAAATCGGGGGCTTGCGGCACTTAATTGGGTGCGGCTCCCGGGCCTGCATTTCCTTGGTTTTCTTACTTTTTTCTTTTACTTCTTAGATATGTACCAGTAGCCCTAGTTTAATATATTTAGTGCTGTTTACTATAATTCCGTGGTTATAGTTGTAGTAGTAGTAGGGGTAGAGAGAGGTACTACTCCGTACTTCCGCTGACTGTCTTCTCCGTTCCTCTCCGTCCCTCCCTCCCTCATTACCAAGTTACTATTCCCTTTCTCCCCCC